TATGTGCGTGTATTGTAGATTACTGAAGGCGTAAATTCTTTAGCTGCGCTCTAAATACCTTTAACGTGCCAATCAATGCAGCGCGTGTATATATCAGTATATACGTACATACATACATATGTGTTTGAGCAATTATGTAAAATATATGTATGTATGCGAGTGTGCTTGTAAGTGCTTTTGAGCTTTGTAAATAAACTCCTATCTCTGAACGCCAGAGTTTGTTTTGGGTTTCTCAGTAATGTTTTTCTTTCCCTTTTAAGTTAATGCTTTTGCTAATGCCACGGCATGCTTCCCTGAAATTAGTAAAATTCTATTAATCTGTATGCATGTTTTGATATTTTTGTTATTTTTGTTATTTCTGGAATAATTGGTTTTTTGATATTTAATTATGTGGCGCACACACATACATATGTATGGAGGGAAAAATTTATGAGTGAATTATGAGTAATTTGACATAAGTAGATATATATATATATATTTGGCATTTATTCATATTTAGGAATGCTAGAGATCATAAATTATCTTCTTCTTCTTGATTGGCGTAGGCAACACTCAAGGTTTATGAAATATAAGATTACGACCACCATTGACGTCACCGAACCAATTTCGTCAAATATACAGTGGGCGGTACTTGATATTTATGTAATAAAAATAAATCTTTTTTTTTTTCTAAAAAATTTACATATATATATGTAAATATGGGAAAAATTTTATTGTACATAAGAAAACGTAAATTATGATTTTTTTTTAAGCAATACATCCTTCTTTCAGATATATTATGTTGCTAACCAGCTGATGAGTTCAAGTTTACAGTCCCAAAAAATGCATCATTGACTTTATAAAATGGGGCTTGTTAACGCATTAGGCTTAAAGATTACTGTAAAATATTGGGCAATATTTGTGCAATGTCGGTTTTGGTGCTTGTCTCCACTGATGGCGTAATTATTTGACATTCTCTATGCATGATATTTGTTATTTCTTCTCATGATATTCATGGGGAATTTGATATCGTTTCGCCTTGACCTTTGCTGCAGTTCCATTTTCCAAGCGAACTCAAAGCTAGCTAATGATTTGGAAAATAAGTGCGCGAAAATGCTGTTTTAACTCTCAGAACCGTTAATGTGTATGCCGCAATACCGCATGTTTTTTTTAATTTTTCAAAAAGCGTTAATATGAATCACCCCCACAATGTTTATTTGCAATTTTTCGTTCACAATAGTCCACTGCACACTTTTTCATCACTACGAATTTTCCAAAAGCTTTTCAACAGACAAATAAATAAAATTTTTAAAAATATTGTCGTTTTTGATATTATTTACTTATGTCAATCGTATTACATGACACCAAAAGTCAGAGTTCCAAGCTTTAGAAAAAAATAATATTAAAATTTTTCAGAGATGAGAATTAATATTTAATCCTTAAACGCAATACCACAAATTTGATACGGCTATGAAAGGTGTAAAAATTCGCCAATTCGACATGGCTACAGACACTCCTTATATCTTGCTCTGCCTGTAAATGCGGGTATATACTCTCTCCAACTTTTGGTTACACTCAATTGCAAATTAAGGGAAGCACAGTTTACTCTAAGCTAACTTCGAAGGTGTAATAAATTTTTATAAAGAGCCTCTATTTCATGCCAGAAATACACACCGAAGGCTTGGTATTCGCTGTTGAGGGCGATTGCAATGAGTAAAAAATTATTTTCTATATAATAGTACGCATGTCAACGAATTTTATTTTTTTTATGAAAATTATCATTCGCTGTGAAGTTAAGGAAAAAAAGATTTCAGGATATATTTTTTTAGTCGGCATGCTTGAGTTAAAGTTAAAAAAATGTATATAAATGTAATCTTCTCGATATTCATTCGAGTAACTATTAATTCTTCTTTACTTTAGAGACACACGGCGTATACGTAACCTATTTATAAATGCCCTTAAATATGCGCTACGATGATTAATGTCTTTCTGTACGCTTCCTTTCCATGCAAATTGCGATATGGATCAGCAAAAACTGTTCGTACCTTCTGCTTCTTCTGAGGAATTAAAAAACTGCCTTTGAAGAACACAAAATATATAAATTGATGAATGAATAAAATATTTTAGGAACAAGAATAAGAATTTCTGTAATTCTTTTGTAGATCTCCTCCTACCAAAAAGTTTTTTATACCAAAGCTCCGGCATTCAGCAGCATGCAACTCAATTCAGCCACCCTGCGAAATGTGGCTCTTTATGACAACCCTCTAAGCCACCGTATTGCCTAGCAGTACTTATTGCCTAGCAGTACTTGCACATCATAATAATGATATTCATTCCCAAGTGAAATTTTTATGAGTACTTTAAATAAATAAATCAATTTTATTACCATAGTTTGCTACTTTTGACAATTTGAAATCAAGTTTGCGAGCGTGTAATGTGAAAAATGCGCACAAACTTATATATTTATTTACAAATTTTCCATTTGAGCAGACTTTGGAGTCAAAAATTACAAAGAAAAAAAGTATCGTTGTTGAAATGTAGAAATGCTTTAACTGAATTTTTGTTGTTTTTTTGTTTGTTTTTTTTTTTTTGTTTTTTTTTAAAGAAAATTATTTTCAAAAATTACTTAAAAATTACATATCTTTTTTAGAAATCATAATCGTAAGATATGACATTTTCAAAATAATTTATACTAATTTGAAAATATTTAAATTGTTTGATTTGATATTGAATTTTTAACTATCCTTCTTTTAAGCATTTATTTTTGAATTTTATATCCTTATTTTTAATTTCAAAGAACTACGTTTTGGCTTTTTAATTGAACAAACATAACAATTTATTTATTTTTTTAATATGTGTAAATTATATATTTTCTGCTGGAAACTTATTTAATTTAACTTATTTTAAAAATATTAATTTATTCTATTTTTTAAATAAATTTTTTTTCTTTTCATGGGCTTTAATTGTTAAGAAACTCAATAATTGTTTAGATTTTAATATAATTAATTTGTTTATTTTCAATTCATTAATTTAATATTTTTGCTTTATCTTTAATTTAAATTTTTTAGTAATAATTTTTTAAATAAATATTTTTATTAAATCTTTTTAATTTTTCCCTAATTCAATAAATTGAGTTATTTTTTTTAGTTTTGAATTTCGTTATTTTTTTATTTTTATTTTTTTCTTCTTTTTTAATCATTCAATTTATTATTAAATTTTCTTCAATCAAAATTTTTTGAATTTTTTTAATTTAAATTTTTTTTTAATTTTTTGAAGTTTCAATTAATTAATTAAAAAAACTTCATTTCATATTTTAGTTGGATAACATGTAAAATTAAACTAATTTTTAAGGATAACGATAAAACATTATTTTTAAGTTTCCTTTTTAATTATTAACGTTTTTAATTTTTAATTTAATTATTAAATTAACCAATTTTATTAGTTTAACTTTGATTTTGGATTAAAAGTTTTCAAAATATATTTTGTGATTCTTATTTTTTATAGTTTTCAGCCTTTACATTTATGTATGGTCAATAATTTATTAATTTAAATATCAAAGTTATATATTATATAATAATTAATTTTGTTATTTAAATTTTTTATGCTTAATAAATTCATTAAATATCTTTAATATTTTAATAAATTAAATTACTATTATAATATTTAATTTTTATATTACTTATTAATTTGATTGGTTTAGTTTTTAGTTTATAGATTGATTATTTAATTTTTGAATTTTTAATTAGTTTATTAAATATTTTTAAATTAATTTTTTTTTAATTTTAGTCCTTAATTTAATTATAACACTTCTGTGAGTTTATTTTATTTTTTAATTCTTTAATTAGCAATTTTTACTAAGATTAATTTTGTGTATTATGTTTTGAGGCCACAATGATTATTTAAAAGAAAATTATTTGTTAATAGATGCAATATATGCATATGAAATTTTCTGTTCTTACTATTTAATTTTCCATTAATCATAAAATTGAACCAATCTTATTATAGGGATCTACTTTAATTTTTTCTATTTTAAATTTTTCAGTTTTTATGTTACTGTATATTAATTTTCAATTATTTTCATTTTCTGGATGATTATAATTTTCACCTTCAAAAAAATAATAACAAATTTAATTAAAAATAAAATATTTATAAATTTTTATAAGTATATTGGCATATATATATGTATAAATATATATAGAGCTACATATTTAAATTGACCTCTAATAAATATTGTTCTATACTTATTTGTTATAATTTTATTTAATTATGTAAATTTTTACTTTTTTTTTGTGATTACCAATCTTTGTTTAATTTCCATTTTTGAATATTTACATTTTTCGTGATAGTTAATTATTTTGTGCTTGTTGTTCAGTTATTTTTAATTAATTTATTATTTAAATCTTTTTATTCTTAATTAAAGAATTAAGTTTGTTATGTGTCTAAATTTAATTTAAATTAAATTAATTTAAAATTTAGTTAATTTAATTTATTTTATTTAATTTTTTTATTTTATTTATATCTTTCAATTTTATATTTATTAAATTTTAATTTTTTTACAAATCTTAATTTTTTTCAATTCATTAATTGCATTTTACTTTTAATAATTTTTTGATCTGTTTTACATCTTTAAAACAAAATTATTATTTTTATTTTAAAATTTATTACTTAGTATTTTTATTTGAAAATTTATTACATTTAAATTAATATATTGTATTTAATTAATTTTTAAATTTTTAACTTTTATTTTTGCTACATAATAATATACATATTAATAATATTTATATTTAATAATAGTTTTTATTTTTCATCGTTATTTAATTATTTTATGAAATTTTATTTCGTCATTTCATACGTTTTTTCATTTAATTTCTTTTTATATTTATTTCGAAATTTCTGTAACTAATTTTTTTTTCATATTTGAACATTTTTATTTAAGCCATTTTAGCATTTCATCAACGAAGCCTAAAAACCCATTTTCCATTTACACAGTTCAGTGCGTTGTTATTATTTTGATTTTGTACCTTTTTATGTTGTTATTTCTTTTATACCAAATCACAGCATTAAAGTCAAAATCGTTCAACACACAGATGGCCGCGTGCACATACGCTCACCTACATACTCTCACGGAAATGTGTACATTCAAGAGAATTGTTTTTTATACAAATATTTACACAAATTAAATTCACAAATATTGACAGACACCAGAATTCAAATTCGTTTTTTCAGTTTTTTTTTTTTTGTAAAAAAAAATTATGCAAATATTAGTTTGCACAACAACAATGGCAGTCAACTGCCACTTTCAGGCAGGTACTGATTTATATATATATATATATTGCATATGTCAAAAATTAAGTTTCACACTCATATACACACAAACGAACGGAATGCCCTAGCCAACTTGAAAATTGGCACTAAATAAATATTTGTCAAATAACAAAAAACCGTTACAGCGCAGAAACTTTTACGTACGCACTCGCGCTCGATTAAGAAACGATTAACCACTTATCACGGTTTTTTGTTTACTATATATATGCACAGAACTTCTTTTTTTTCTCTTCTTCTGCTTCTTCTTCATCTGCGCTCAATGACAGCTATGTATGGCGACAGCAGTTGGTGATGGTGTTCGTGGTGGCAGTGTTGTTGAAGTTGAAAAGACCGAAAGTCACAAAGCGCACGACTTCAGTCAACAACTGTTGTACATAGCAACGGAAACAAAATGAAAAACAAAAACAATAATTGTAAAAAGTGCGCGATATTAAACGAATCAGACCAAGCTGTAGTGCAGCGAAGCCGTTAGAAAAGCGATGAAGCTGAATGGCTTGGTTTTTATTGAATGGGACCACGAGCACCAACGGAAGGTCTGCTTGCTTGACAGGCAATCATTTGTTGTTATTATTGCTGTTTCGCACTACATTTTTCATGATTTCTTAATTTTTACAATTTTTTTTTTGAAATTTTCTTTTTTGTTAAATTCACTTTTTTTTGCGATTATTTCACGTATTTCAAGTGCAACCGCTTCGGCCGACGCACGACGAAGCACTCGAATAACGGATCAACAGACAAGTGTTGAATGATGTTGGCTACAAAACGTCAACAAACACAATTGCTAACAGCAAATTGCCAGTGAGTGTTGACAATGAGCGAGAGAGCGCCAGAGTGAATGTGGGTCGTTGATGTTGCGGCAACATGTTGCTCGGTAGCACGTGCTGCCGTTTTTGTTTAGTAAGGCGTATGTATGCAAGAGTATGTATGTATGTTTGTATGAGAGCAAACTTTTTTTTACTACTGTTGTGGAGGACTTGCTGGTGGTTTGCGGTTTCCATCGAAAGAGCAACAAGTTGTTTATTGCATACATATATTATATATGTATATATATGTATATATATGAACATACACGCATGTATATTGTGCGGAGTGTTGTTTTGTAGCAAGCGGAAGTTGTCAGGGTTGCAGTTGCACACAAATGCATGTAAGCAAACATTAAAAGCATTTTACCAACGCACACACACACACTCACCTACCCCCTCATATACACACACATACACACACTTACATGTGCATTCAAAGATACTCATTTACTTGCCTTTCGAATATTAAATATCGCAAAATGTAATTAAAATAATATCAACACAACAACAAAAAGAATATTGTGAAAATTGAGTCAAAATATTAAAAATTGAGTTGGGCGAGAGAGTCTCACTTAATTTAGCCTTACTGTAATATGCATAGTTTTTCAATGTTGTTTGAGGGTACATTTTATGATGATCAGCCTAAGGACCATTAGGAAAATAGGTATAGTAATTGAAAGATAATTAGTTTTTGGTGTACAGATACACCAACAAATATGGATTAGTTGCCCAGAGGATAAATGTAGATTAGGTCAAGAGAAAGAGATAAACATTTAGATGGAAGCAAATTATTAATACGTCAAATACAGTTTTCAATGTAAGAAAGACGGTCTGCTGAAAATGTAGTCAGTCTAAGCCCCTAGATTTTAAGAAGATTTGAAAATAAAAAAAATTTCGGATAAAAATCGTCATTTGATATTTTATTTAAAATTTTTTTGATTTAAAATCATTTTCGTAAGGGGAAAACCATTAAATTATGGTTTGCAGAGAAGTTGACTTTAATAACTAAAATTTGAATACAACCTTGTCCCTACTCCCTACTCCCTACTCCCTACTCCCTACTCCCTACTCCCTACTCCCTACTCCCTACTCCCTACTCCCTACTCCCTACTCCCTACTCCCTACTCCCTACTCCCTACTCCCTTCTCCCTTCTCCTTATTCTCTACTCCCTACCACCATTCTTATCCCTATCCATTTGTGTCCTTCCCCTTTTTCAAACTTTATGTCCCTCTCACAATCGCAATGTTGTGAAGTAGACAATTTTTTTGCTCTCCACTATGATACGGCAACCCTAATCGTAGCAGCTCTTTATTCGAGGGCGCAATAATAGCTGCATACCCACATTCTGGGCTATAACCCATTACACGGCGGAGACACTTCACTACACTAACCTATAAATGGTTCAACATAAATTAGGCTAATCAAAATTTTCTCTTGCCGAGTGCATACAATAACAACGCCAAATCGTTAGTCCATTCGCGCTATTCAAATTTCACCTCAACCGAAGCTTCTCTATGTAAATACGAGAAAATATACAAATGTCAACTATAATAAGGTCCGCTGGACAGCCAACCGAGTAGTTAGGAAATCAACTAAATAACCGTCAACAACAACAACCACAACCATTTTGTCAAATTCCCTATGACTTCCATAATCATTCATCGACAAATACCTGCCTGCTTGCCAAAGTACGTAATTTGACGTCTACCAAAGCGAACGAGGAAGAGGGTGAACGAGTGACTTGTGAAAGTGAGGTTAGGTGTTGAGAGCTGAAGATTGAGTAAAGTGTATTGTGCGCTTTGGTTAAAGTTCGCCTGCCAGGTATGGCGGCTAGGTAGGTCTACCATTTAAAATCATTACAGTTGAACGCGTTTACTGCGCAAATTAATGCCTTTTCTACTCTAATCACTTGTTTACCTGTCATGGCAACAAAAGGAGCTGCAGCAATTCAATGAAATACCTCATCCACTTAATTTATAGGTATTTATGTAAGTATGTATGCACGTAGCTGCATAACCTTAAGTTGCTGAAATCAGCGGCAAGCACAGGCAGTCGCTACACTTTCATTGCCAAGCGTCTTCGCCTTCACATTGGCGCCAGTTACACCTCAATAGGTTTCCATTCAAATTATTTGCGGTGCATGAAGGAATTTTCACTTTTCTTCTTTGTTTTTTTGTGACTCTCTGTTTATAATATACATATAATTTGTGTATGTAAGTACTCTATTTAGTGTACATACATACATACATACATGCCTAAAATGCGTAATTTGCTTTAAAAATAATTCCGTATGCGTAAAACTTGCGTCATTTATGTGGTAAATTCTGATAAATATTAATATAAGCACATTTGTGTGCATGAACTTGTGAATATAAAAAAAAGTATTAAGTAAACATGTTTTTAGTGGAGGCATTCGGACAAAATCGATTTAAAGCCCACTGAAATCATACTGCAGCGTCTCCAGACCAAAGGCAAGGATGAGAGCGGACGACGGTCTGGAAGCGAGCGGCTCGCTATGTAAATGTGGTGTCTTGGTGTCGGATTCTTGATGGGAGAGATATTCCGTAGTCCTACCCTGTAATTCACTCCGGTCGATCATGGCCTCGCGACAATCCACACCGAAGCGAAAATCTATTGTTCATTTGCATTGACGGCCGGACGGAAGGGAGGAAGGGAGGAAGGATGTTATATATGAACGTCTGTAGCATACTTGTGAGCACTGTCACCGACACGATGTGAAAATTGTGCTTGTCAACTTTAATGGTAGGTTGGACAAAGGAGATATCTTTGGCAGAACTGTCGAAAAATTCAGCCTACGCGACGAAATATCCCTGAATGGGCTGAGGTTGATCGACTTCGCTGGAGCTGGGTAATAGCATCTAGCAAAAGAAAATTCATCACACTACATGACAGTCTCCAAATCAAGAAACTCACAGCCAGATCGACGAGCATACATGCGTTTATGGATGCGTATACATCAGATCATCAAAGCTGAAATCACAAATGAAAACCTGCCCATGTTCTATTCGACTTTCAATTCTGAATTTCACCAACTCATCATGAAACAGCAACTGTTCGCAATAGTGAGCGAATAGATTAACCCCTTGTTTGATGATAGGAGTTAGTTTGCATTGTCCTCGATCTCTACCATATCCGTTCGCCTAGCTAGGTAGGTAATAAACCTACTCTATAGAAACTTTGACTAACGGAAGAAGTGTGTACAATCTCAAAGTAGCTCTTTAGCAAATATTTTCGATGTAGAGTCATCCTATAGGTAGAGAAGGGCTCACCCCCTGCGGGTGAGGGGCTCAAGAATTTACCCGCGGTAAGGCATGCCTGTCGTAAGAGGCGACTAAAATCCAATAGTTCCCGCGACAGTCTGGTCTTTATACCGGAACGACCCGAATTTTTATCCGGCCAAGGACTGTTACTCCCGCAACGTTCCCCAAAAAGTGCTTTGGAGAATAATTTTGCGGTTACAACAACAACAACAGAAGGACTCGCAGAGATCCATCCCGATTCCAACATAGCTTTCTGTTCACTTTTATGCTTGGATGAGTGTCAGTTCTTTTCTCACCGGTCTTTTCCAATATCTGTCGCATGGTGAATATCTAAGTTTTTTAGGTCTGAAGTCTCATTTACCCAGTGCAATCGGTTATAACTCACATATAAGATATTGAGGAGATTTACCCCAGGGATAGCCGTGCGTACTATCATACGGAAGGCCATGAGTTTGAACCTTGTCCAGACAGAGCATTTAACAATTATAAAAATTTAATTAAATAAAATTAATATTTTTTCAAACTGTGGACGGACTCCACAAATTTAAAGAAAGAGTTCAGCCGAAAATTGCTGTAGCGTGTATAAAGCGTATATGACATATAATATATATGTAAACTTGCTGAGTCATTAAATGCTTTCACCAAATAGAGTAAAAATTATATCTGTGATTTAAAATACCACTTTTTTGTATATTTAATTATTATTTTAATAAATAAATGTATATATAATATAATATTCATCTGCTGCTAAAAAGTATACAAATATATATGAATACGTTATTTTAAAACCAAAAACAAATTGCCAAAATCTCTTTGGACTCCACAATACTAAAATAAATTAGGTAATGGCTGTCAAACTATTGAAATAAATACTATTTCATTTAAAGTTGCTCTCAAACTTATGCGGTAGCATTCATATAGCACTCAAAGTATATTTCGTATTTTGCCATGCAAAGCTAACAAGCAAATATACCAACCAACCGCAAAAAATAAGTTTGTTACTCAGTGTGTACATACAATTGCACACATTTATCATACTGTAACAAGATAACGTATTTCAATATATATATAATATATATGTATATAGCTATGAAAAGCTTTCAAAACAGCTGATTGGCGAGAAAAAATTTTGCATCAAGTTTTTGCTAAATCGGTAGAGTGTTGTACATCATAATTTTTACGCAATCCACTATTTTCTTAACCAAAATATTAAGTAATATTATAAACGAGTAAATAAAAATAAAAAAAAACACAAGAATTGTAATTTCAAGTGCACTTGTGTTTCTAATATAGACATATAATTTTGACCTTGTTTTTTTAGCTTGAAAGGAAAATTCAAGAACTTGCGGAATCTTTTGTTTTGCTTTAGCAACAACAACGGAAAAGTGTTGGAATTGCTCTATTCATATATATATATATATAACTGCATAGACATATACTTAAAAGCACACGAGTGCCTGCAATATTGAATGCATTCGGTTTGGTCAAATTTTTTGTTGTTGATTCGTGTTAAAACAATAACAAACTGATTGATTTGCAAACATACGTGCATATAAACGAAATAAACTCTTGTGAATAATTAGTAATTACAGCGAATTATTAGCGTAAAATATAAATAAATATAAGAAAAACAACAAATACTGGTAGAAAAAAAACAGCCCAATCAGTGAGTACAATAAAATTTTAATTATTTGCCGATGAGTGTCTAAATTTAGTTGATTTAAATATTTACATATTTAATTTTATGGAACATATGTATTTATGTAGTTGCATGTAAGCAGTCACGTCAAATAATTCATATCATTATTTGCTGCTAGCTATTTTTGTGAAAATCAATTTTAAATTTTATTTACGCTTGTTTAGTGATAATAACTGGTGATGAGTGGCTGTTTGTCTATACGGGTTGGTGGTGTCAGTTGTTAAGGCAAACAAGCAATTAGGCAAACAGGCAGCTATCGCGCTTCTTGTCGCCTTGAGCATCAGCTGTTGCTGAAATGTAATGGCAACCTAACATTTATTTGTTGCGTGCAGTTGTTACTTATACTCAACTATTGCAATTACTCTTGTAAAAAAATAAACATATTTACATACTTACATAGGTTATATTGATAATTGTGTCACTCTAATTTTCTTGCCTTTGTGTTTTTATTTATGTAATTTAAAACAATTTCATTAAAATTTATTTTACTATGCTTTATTTTATTTTATTTTACTTTATTTTTTTAGGTTTGTATTAATTTTTATTTATTTATTTATTTTTTTTATTATAGGGATTTTTTTTTATTTTTATTTTCTTTTATTCAATTTAATTCAATTTAATTTAATTTAATTTTATTTGATTTATTTTATTTTTCTTTAATTAATATAAGTGTATTTTATTTGATTTTATTTAATTTTAATTAAATTTAATTTTTCTTTTTTTAATTTAATTTATATTTATTTAAATTTAATATTTTAGAATTAAAGTCATTCACATTGTTTGTTATTCACAAAAATAAATTTATTTTATTTTCTTTTATTATATTTTTCTTTATTGAATATAACTTCATTTTATTTAATTTTATTTAATTTAAATTCATTTTAATTATATATTATTTTTATTAATTTTAATTAATTTATATTTATTTAAATTTAATATTATAGCACTAAAATCATTCTAATTGTTTATTATTCCCAAAAATATGTTTATTTTATTTTCTTTTATTTAATTTAATTAAATTAAATTTTATTTTATTTTACTTAAATTAATTTTACTTTATTTTATTTTATTTTTCTCTATTTAATTTGATTTATATTTTAGAATTAAACTCATTCACATTGTTTATTTTTCACAAAAATATATTTATTTTACTTTCTTTTATTGTATATTTTTCTTTATTGAATATAACTTCCTTTTTTTAATTTTATTTAATTTTAATTATATATTATTTTTATTAATTTTAATTATTTTATATTTATTTAAATTATTATAGTATTAAAATCATTCAAATTGTTTATTATTCACAAAAATAGGTTTATTTTATTTTCTTTTATTTAATTTAATTTATTTTAATTTTATTTTGTTTAAATTTATTTTAGTTTCTTTTATTTTATTTTTCTTTATTTAATATAACTTCATTTCAATTGCTTTAATTACATTTTTTTTCATTTAAATTAAATCTTATTTTTCTTTATTTAATTTAATTTATTATTTTAGAATTAAACTAATTCAAATTGTTTATTATTTTCAGAAATATATATATTTTATTTTCTTTTATTATGTTTATTTTTTTATTGAATATAAATTCATTTTATTTGATTTGATTTAATTTTATTTCATTTTAATTAAATTTTATTTTTCTCTATTTAATTTATATATATTTAAATTTATTATTTTAGAATTAAACTCATTAAAATTGTTTATTATTCTCAAAAATATGTTTATTTTATTTTAAACACAATATTTCCGTATTTTTTGCACGCTTTTTAATTGAATGAAATACAAAATACACTTCTTTATTGTATTTTTTTAAGCGATTTTTTTTTATCTTTAATCCAATTTATTGTTATTCGTTTATCTTTGCTTGGCTGTCGAATAAATATCTGTTCCACACCTCTTTTTTTAAGTTTTTTTTTTTCCACAAGATAAGCGTTGATTTTCTTCTGGTCGCCGCGTTGACTTTCACTTACGCGTTTAGTTCGCTTTTGTTTTGCGTTTAATTCACTGTTGATTTCCATCAAAAATTTATTTTTCTCCTCCACTCAATTTAATGAAATTTATTAGTTTTCATTGTGTTCATTTCGTGTGCGTTTCCTCTAATTTGTATATATGTACATATATAGATATGTATGTATGCATGTTTAGTTTTATTTTTGTTCTTTTTTCGTCCATGTTATTCATTAAGCCAAAAACAATCAAACAAATGCGTATTTATGTAAGATATTTTGCATAATACGAGTATATGTACAAACATATATGCGCTACTTAAGTAAATCAATGAAATAATATTCACAAAAGAAATGTGTAGATGTAAAACAATTTTGTATAAACAAAAGTCATATATACATACATATCTACTATTTTATAATATTTTCATGGGCAGTTTGTGCGAAAAACTGTAGAGGAAAATTTATGCAAAAATGGGAAATTCAAAATAATTAAATTATTTGAATTTTGGCGAAAGTTTTGAGGCAGAGCGAATGTATTTAGTGGATATATAATTACAGTCGGAGAGCTCTATATTTAATTCCTGCTTTGGCGCAAACGAAACACATACTGGTAATGCCAGCAACACTTCATGTAAGATGCAATGACCAATTCGTGTGGAGTCAAGTCTGTCACGACTGAAATATAGGAAGCATCCGTTGAAGTCTGATCGCAACGCCTGTTCATCGGAAATGTGCCTACGAGCGGGCGTTGCTCTTAAACCAAACGGAGCGGTACACTTTTCTTTGTGGAACGCGGTCATGCGCTACGTGGGAGGAAATATTGTAAAAAAACCACTACCTCGAAGGTGGCTACGACAACACGAAAAAAGCTGCTTCTGATTTTGTTATTTTTGTTATTGCGCTGAAGCCATTTTTAGCCGAGCTCCTCCTACAGTTTGTGGTGCATCTTGTTGTGTTTCCCACAAATGGTGGGACCATCAGTTTATACTGAGCCGCTTCCGAACGGCTGATAGTTTTTTAGGACATGCTCAAACCGAGACATTTGATACCAAACTATGCTTTGGAGAAGGTAATTTTCTTTTGAGAACAAGACGAAATATATCCTGTCGTTTGGAAAAGAATCCGCTCATTCACGTTTGCACTTTCAAGTCACTTTTGGCAATGATAACTTCAAGGTCACCAATAATATTATTAGCCTTGAAATCCAAGGCAGTATCACCCTTGCCAATAGGTACTGCTACCAACGGCGTTCATATGGGTTAAACAACACCGGATTTTTAAGTTTTTGATGCAGCATTTCACGGATGAAAACAAAAGAAAAGAAGAACTCTATTACTTTTGAAAGATTGCATGAAGAAAAATCTGGCTTCGCGTGGAATCTTTACTTAATACCAAACTGCAAAAAGAAGAAGCTACTGGTGCGCTACACGTACAGGTAACCCCACACCATTTTGCATCTGTCAAAATGTCGTCGGTATAAAAAGGAAGTTTTGTTGGGCACGGCGGGTGGGTAAGAACCCCGTTGCAGCGTTTCTAGGTTGAATATTAGAGCCGCGTCGGGCCGAACGTTGCAATGTTACAAAATCACTTTGTCAGGCCTTACGGTCGTTTGTGGCCATTTTTAACACAAAGCACGGTTCAAACGCATTAGCTGCAGTCGATAACAGCTCGCAGCAATTTTTCATCTAGTTGGCACGGAGTCTACCCTGCTTCATCTTCAAACTCTTTGAGTTGGCCAGGATGCTCTTTGACTTCAACGCTAAAATAACTACTTTTGAAGTATAAAAACCGGTTATTGCCTTGAACTCCGTTTCTTTTACGAAAGTGGTTCTTGTTACGAATGATTTTATGGATTTTGTTGAATTTTTATATGAAGTTATTTTTTCTAGACAAACAAATTCCGGAAATAGACGAGAGCAACTTAAATTTGATTTAAGTAGAGTACATTTGTAGGCTTTCGTCCAGACATAATACTTTCTTTTTCATAGATCTCCACTTGGACGAAAGCAGGATATGATGAATTCGTTCGCAGAGCGTTGCTTCACGTGAGAATGCAGTTTGCTTTGAGTTTCACGTCTGTCCACATTCATATGGTTGCAAACTATTTCCATTATACTCGCTTCTAAATATTTGTATGCTTAATTTTTTTTTTTGCTTTTAATACATATATATTTCCCTTTATATATAATTGGCATATTCTGCCTGCCGCCGGGCTCCTTCTCCAATTTGTGGTAAGCATCTTGTTGTTTTTCCAACAAATGGAGGGAGAATAAAAATTATTTAAAATAATCACAAAAATCGACAAAACAATAATTAATCCCATAATTGCTTAACGCCTGTGACGTCAGTTGTCAATTTATTTATGAAGTGGAGTGTACATACGTGTATGTTATTTTGAATTCTTTTTTGAAGATGGCACGAGATTCCAGTGTGCATGATCATGCTAGACACATGCGGCTGTTTGTGATATTCATTCGTAGCTTAAGTATTTGTTAAAAAAAACAACAAAAAAAGTTATTATTAGCTCAGCTCGTTTACGCTCTGAGAACTAGAATTAAAAATATTTGAATGGAAAAATAAAAAATCTTCAAATAATTTTTGTGTGTTGATTGTTGTACTGAGTCAATTTTGAACATTTACATAAAACCTCAGTTATTTACTATTTCGATTTTCTTCATCTTCTTTATTGGCATAGGCACCGCTTACGCGGTCAACAGTAGCGCTCGATTCCTGGCTTCTCTTACCTGTGCAGCGTCATTTAGAAATGCAAAGTGTAACCACATCGCTCTCCACCTGATCTTGTCAACGGAGCGTAGGAGTTGCTCTCCTTCTGCTACCACCAGTGGGTACGGTATCGAATACTTTCAAGGCTGTAGTGCTTTCAACCATTCGAACGAGATGTCCTTCTTTCTATCACTGCTTCAATACCATCTCTTAACTCCTACAGCTCATAAATCGTTAGTAAAACTTTTCTCTTTAAGATTTCTAAGACTGACTGTGAGGTGATCACAGGAATGA